CAGAAGGCAAAAAACTAATTGAAGACATAGGTTGCAACATGTTGCCGCGAATCCACAAATCCACAAATCCACGAATATGAGGACAACTTGTATCAAGCGATCAAGCGATCAAGCGATCAAGGTACAAGTTGAATGGGGAAACTGTGAATATAAACACCAGGCGATCAGAAAACTCTGTGCAAAACAATTGAGCAAACCAAGTGCAGACAGATACATTCACAAGCTTCACATTTTAAAACTTGTGTAGATATAAAATTGTGTGTTTCATTGTAGAATGTAAACAAACTCACATTTTTTGGTTTCTGCAATAAATAAATATTACAATTAAACTTATAAAAATATTTTTTTTTCTATTTCTTCTTTCTGTTCTATAATCAAACTTAATATCAATATAGTAATGGCATTTCTGCCTTTACCCTCAATTCCTGAACTTGGGCTTTAACTGCGGACTTTATGTTTATTGCCTTAAGTATAAAAACGCTAACCTTTGAAAACACATTCAGAATTTTCATTCTACACTTACCACAATTTTTTCACTTCCCGACTCTCTATTTATGTTACCTCGATTTCAGTATAATTATTGGATACAGCTCTCATCAAATATTATTCACATAGTCCGATTTTGATGAGATGAGATGAGAATATTATTCTCTCTTTATGGCTTTTCTGATTATATCACAATTGTACCCTCATCTACCTTCCTGATGGCCTGGTAGCTAATAAAAAGAAATTGTGACGTCATACAAGCAGTGTACTATTCATACTAAGTATGGTATATATAGCTTTGAACAAACTAAATGAGAGTTCAGATTACCATTACTACTTTTAGTACTTCTGCTTTTACTACTGCTATAGAAATTTTGGAAAAAGTGTTGATGCATGAGTATTCACGAGAGGAAAGGCACGAGAATTGGGGGAACACGAACTGAACACATTGGCCAAGTGATCAGAATCAGAACAAAGTAAACTATTGTCGACCATTTGGTGGCAGTTGAAAATCGACTGATATTCACGCTGTTTGTTATATGACAAAGCCTCGTTTCGTTTTATCGTATTTTAAGAATACAATTTTAAAGAAATCAAATCTTATTTACATTCATATTTAACGATCTCAAAATCATCCCCACTTTTTCATGCCTCTTCATCTTTTCTGATGACCTGGTACCTTTAGGGAACAGATTGAAATTTCGCGCACTTTTTGGAATAGTTTAAAAGAACACTTTAAATGCATTATATTTCTGATGAAGACTTCTTGGATCACAATAATGGAATCTTGCTTAGACCTGCGCTTTAAATTGTAGTGCTGCGTCATCAAATAAATAATTAAAGATTCTTTAAAGCTACAATAAGTATATGTATTATATGAAGACAGTATTTGTGTCATTGCTTTGGTAAAAGAGTATTTGAGATTATGCAATCTAAGAGACAATAATCTTTAGCTTAAATAAATAAACAAATCTGAATTTGTTTCAGCGGTTTTCGATGTTTATATTGAAATCAATAAAAATCAAGTCTGTCTGTTTTCTTATATTCGGGTTACTTGTTTATTAAACTCAGAGTGAAATAATAAATTTTTGAATTCAAATTCGCTGTACTTGACTTTTTTTGACTAATTTTGGCATTTTGCGAAAATTAACATCACACAAAAGAATAATAATAACCATTAAATAATTTCTAATTATCTAATTAGTCGATTTTATTAAAAACCTGCAGTTAATTCTGCCTTGTCTTGAAACTTGTCAGATCAATTCACTAATTCACTGAAAGTATTGTAGATATTAGCCTACATTCAATTCTGATCGTTTGGTATTTATGTGTCATCCTCAAAACATTCCTTATTTTAATAGAATGTTTCCCAGTTTGTTTGATTCTTTACGATTCAATGATATTAGAAATATTACAGGTGACAGATGATTTTTATTAGAAATTATATGACGATAAAAAATTTACTTAAAACATGGTTTAAGGTGCTGGAATTCAAGTCCTTAGAAAGACATCATTTGAACTTTCATATTTTCACAGCTTCAAAATTCTAACCATAACATTTGTTGTCCATCAAATTATATAAGGAAAAATAAATGAATGATGTTGATCTGAACGTATACAGGCGATTGAAAACATTTCGTCATATTTTTAGCAACATCCTGTTCTCTACCAGGTCATCAGAAAAGTAGAAGAGAGTAGAATTGAGGATGCATTGAAAAAGTCATAAAGAGGTTACAATGTTTTCGTTGAAAACAATTCTCTGTTTTACGATCGTTAAAAGTAAATAAGCTTTGATTATCAAAACATCATCAAAACATCAAAAAAGTTACAGAAATTGCGGCAAGTTTAGTGATAAACTTGCCTCCAACGAAACGAGGATATAGAATGTACTGCAATGCATTGCTGACTGTTTCTAATCAGAACCATCGATTCAAATGTTTAATCCGAAACATCTACTACATTAGCAATCAAAAATAATTTTCTTATTTAATACTACTTGAGATTGCGGCGGTCTGCTAGTACAGAAGTATGTTTGGTCTTATCAATTTTTCTATTACGAATTTTGTTCGTTTATAATTTTTACTGATACTAAAATAATGGATACCAACAGAGTTTTGAGTATCTTTGAATCAAAATAATTGTACGATTGTTATACTATTAGAAAGCTTGATTCTGCAGCAGCTTCGAGGAAGACGAATACAGTTCTTCATTTTTGTTCTGTCACTGTCAACCGTTTGTGAAATATAATTCAAACACAGTACACTCTTGCTTTCTGAAGGAATTTTGTCTCCTATGATATGTTCTCTTAAACATATTTATAAGCTTTAATACATATTCTAAATTAAAGACACAGCACGCAATGGATCATTCGACCCATCAAAACGTCTAATCACTATTAAAACAGCTTTTCGGCAACTAAATTTAATATGTAAACGCGTTTAGGAATCACGTATAATATATAAAAAAATTTCCAATATGTAAAAATTGCCATTGTGGAAGTAAAAGCACAATCATATTCGATATTAAATTTATGAAATAAGTGCTGCTATAAACCAATTATAAACACCACAAAACCCTTTTTAAATTTAACTGTAAAATATATAAAAGACCAGTCGCTTGAAGTTGTAGTTGAGTTTATTTGAATGCAGATTTTAATATATTCAAGACAGCATATTTCAACATTGCTTAACTGTCCGTCATCAACACGAACAATATATGAGAGAAAAATAAATTATTGTGATTTGTTGTTTTATCAGACTGATTTTACTATTATCACATTAGGATTCGTGACTATAATTGAACAATCTAAAAATTCTCATAAGGAAAAAAAATACAATATAAAATAATATAAGATTTAATATAAAAATATAATATAACTACATAAATATGTTAAACGCTTACAACTATATAATATCACTTACTTCTTTATTTGCGAACTCGATTTCCCATATTGGTCATCATAAACCACAGAACTGTGTTGCATAAATTAACTTTGAATAAAAATAATCACAAATTTGTTACAATTTCTATATATTGTTTTTAGCATCTAGATATATTTATGAGGTTCCCAACCTCGCTAACCTCTCGTACACGTATTCTGGTTCACTGACCGATATTTTACAGTCCCGAAAGTTTTTTCCTACCAACACTGTGTTTTTCTTCAACTGTTAACAGTTCGCGACCACAGTTCATTCTTCGTAAAACTTCATTGTTTGTAACATGATCCGTCCATTGAATTTTGAGAATTCTCAGAAAAATCCGTTACTCAAATGCTTCTAGGTTGTTAATATCAGCGAGTTTCAAAGTCCAGGTTTCCATGGCGTATAGGAGTATAGATCTGACATAGCGTATTACAAATAAGATTTCAGTTTTTAAATTGAGATCACAAATGTCAAGAACTTTTTAATGTTCTTTTTAATGTCAATATATTTTGAAAATCTGCGGCGATATTTATGTGACAATCATTCACCAAACATTTATGTGACAAAGGGGGAATTAGAGAAAGAGTAGAAGTTTCAACAAAACACTGCACTATCTCAGAAAATATACGCTGACCAACAATAAATTAAAGACTGATCTCTATGTATCATTCTAACCGCGTGATAGTTACTATAAGCAATAGCACTCTAGTTCTAGGTAAGATAATTTGCAATTAACATCAATATTTGTATGTTAAACGAAGCTCTTTTTTTTTTGCATATTTCGTTTATTGACTAACTCAGAGTCATAGTTCAATTTAATTTATCGGAAATTCAATATTTATTTAAATAACTCAACCGATTGTCTATTCATTTTCATATAAGTTCGATTCCTGGTAGTTGCAGTCTCAAAAAGTTATGTACGAATAATTAAATATAAGAACTATTTTGAAAACCACAGATGATGGGTATTTGGCAATACTTGAAACAGCGGTATCGTCAGCCGAAAATTCAATTAATTAAAATAATATAAAATGAATTTTTGTTGTTGTAGTTCACTACTGTTCGAAAAACCTTCTTATAATTTTTAACTTACATAATAACTTATTATTTCTTCATTATTGAACAATTTCATTTGATTTTAACAAATATTCTTATAAACTGACGACAATGAATGAATGAATAAGATTAATAGTTTAATAGATTTAATAATTCTTACATATCAGTAAACACTTAACATATATGTATAGATATGTGATGTATGCTGTACATACAGACATTTGTCATAGCATATCACGGAACTTGTCTACAATTCCATAAGCGCCTGTAAGCAAAATTGAATTCATCTTCCACTAACAGACAGAGAAATCACGAATTCATACTTGCATATCAGTCTAAGCTTTGCAGCACGACTGGGTGTCCTAATCACATATTCATACAATGTACGGATGCACCACATGATACCATTTGGTACGAGTGGGTTTCATGTACAAACAGTTGAAGCGTATGAAATAATGTTGAACAATGCAAATAATAAAATGTTTCACTATCTTTTATTAAATTTAACAAAAAATTATGTATTTCTTCTATTTTTAGTATCGGAAGTAGAAGGAGATGCTTTGGAATTGGAGCGTATTTCTCGCCTGCACATGGGTGCATATTTATGCATTGCCACTAATGGAGTACCGCCAAGTGTCTCGAAGCGAATTAAAGTCAGCGTAGATTGTAAGAATTTTGCTAATATCTTACTTTACATGCTATAACTATATTATTAATAATATATTTTTTTTAACATAATTATATTGATCTATTGTCTCATTTCATTGTACATTAAGTTTCACCAATGGTTTGGATACCACATCAGTTAGTCGGCATACCAATGAACTTCAATGTCACACTTGAATGTTTCATCGAAGCGAATCCTACGTCACTTAATTATTGGACACGTGAAAACGATCAAATGATTACGGAGTCATATAAATACAAGTAAGTTTTTGTGGAAAATAACAGATTACAATAACAGATCAAATACACATATAAAATACATACTATATTCAAAAATATTCAAATTACACAAAGAGTGCAAACGGTACTATCAAAATGCACAAAAAAATTCAAAATTTTTTGAGGGACAAAAATGAAATATTCTTCAAAAACTGTAGTCAACTCATATCGGTACTGGAGTTTTCCGTAATTTAAATAACTTTATAAGGAAAAATAAACATTTTATTACCACTCTTACTATGTACATATAACTTATTATATTTATAAAGATTGACTGAAGTATTTAGAATAGTAAACAAAATTTTCAGCAAAAAACACGCACATAAAAGATACTGCCACAATTTTTTCTATATGTTGGTAACACTGTTCGAATATTATGGAAGATTTTAGCGCAATGTATTATTAAGTGTGTTTACATCAGCCCTTTTTCTAACCACACTTTTCCATTCAACTAGTCAAGGGGAGTTTGAAGTGCTGAAGGCCTACATACTGCCCCCTTACAAAGAAATCAATTCATTACCCAATATCCCACAAAGTTTTCTTCTTGCTGCGGGCCTATAATGTTAAGTGCTCTGTGATTGGACAAATACATCGTGTGTAAATTTTTGACGAATTCGATCAGTATACCACCATTCTCACCTGCCCTGGCCCCTTGTAGCATTTTTGTACTGCCAAAACAATTATTACTCCTTTGAAGAAGACATTTGTTACCAGTTGTGGTCATAAAATAAAATTCGCTCAAGGCATTCAAGCTAAAACTCAATCAATTTATGGAAAATACATGTAAGACTGGGTCAAGCTACTGGCAGAGTTGCAAAGTACTCGATTTGAAATACTTCAAAAATGACTTAGAAAATTTTAATAAACTGATTACTCGTTTTCATTTGTTGTTTTTTTATAATGCCGAATACTCTAAATATACATACTGCATTTGAAGAATTATGTTGTTTGCTGTGTTCATATGGTAAGAATTAGAGACATGGATAAGCTGAATACACTGTTAGTAATTATGAAAATGTGAAATATAATAATTTCACTGAAACCTAATAGAATGTAATATAAAAGCAAGATCTGTAATGTAGAAAGCTAGTGGCGTTACCATGACTCAAGCATTTCATCTGAATTTAATCGGAATACCTCTCTGAGCTAATGAAGACAATCCGTGCTTTCTTTAAATACACAGGTATACACATTTTTCTTCAATGACAAATTTTTTAGAATTAACTTTGTTTTAACTCTATAATTCTTATAACTGTTTAATTAAAAAAAAATATATGTATAAGAAAGATAATGTTCGTGCAGTGCCATTATATGAGATTAAAACACTATAAGTTGCATTGTATATTTCGAAAACGTAGTGATTACATATCATAGTAACTCCAAAATGTTTTATTGCGAAACCCAACACTTAACCGTACGACCCAGACGTGTGCTACTAGAATGCTATAGTAGCATACCTCAATAGTGAGGTGATTTATGTAATACTTCAACACGACTGGATGATGTGATGGAACAATTTCTTGAGGTTTACTATGTTTAATTTACTGGCCTACTTACTTAATTACTTTTTGTTTGTAGTTGTTGTTAGAGAATCAGTTTGCTTGCCTTTATTCATTAGTCACTAGAACACAATAAATGAAGGTTATAAATATGTTCTTAAAAATAATTGTGGACATAATTTGCAACATGTTGCCACGAGTCCAAGAAAACGAGGGAACCGATCAAGCGATCAAGATACAAGTTGAATAGGAAAACTGAATATAAATACTAGGCAATCAGAACTCTGTACAAAAGAATTCAGAAAACGAAATGCGGTTGTATTAGAAGAGCAAAACAAAAAATATAGTGGGCTGATGAAAGAGACAATGTTATACTGAAATAATTCAAGCAGAAATCACCCACCACGGTAAGCTGTAAGAGTGAAATATATTTTTATTCATAGAGAAAAGAGAAATAAGGCAGACTTTATGTTTATTGATTTGAGAATAATTCATTCTGCACATACCACTTCCCACATTGATTTCCACTTTCTGGTTACTGAGAGCTTAATATCATTACAACATCTGGATTTCTAAACAAGACTTACATTTGTTATCGTCTTAGTCATGTGTGCATATATGCAAACTCCTAAATCGCGCTATTCAGTTTATATCAATTATTTCAGTATAATCAATGTATTCAACTCTCATAAAATAGTCTTCACATACTCCGATTTCCATCAAAGAACTATTCTCTCTTTATGGCTTTTTTGATTATTTCTCAATTGTACCCTCTTCTTCTTTTCTGATACCTTGGTAGCTAACAAGGTGAAAATATGACATCATACAAGTAGTGTATTTGTCATGTTACGTACATATCGCTTAGAACAAAATAAAAAGTAGTATAGATATAAACCACTACTACCACTACTAACTTTACTACTACGTCTAAATTCTCAAATTCTCGCATAAGTATATCATGGCTGCTGAAGCAGGGGGAATGAGGAAACTCTAATCAATTACAAGTACCAAGTCATCAGAATTGAAGCAAAGTGAATTTTTCTACTCAAATTATGTACTTGGGGACATTAAGAACGAATATGCAGATATTTTCTTCAAGAGATTTACCACGCTGAACTTGATCTAATGTAAATAAACAATTCGAAGAATTCAATTCGCTTTCAACTGTTCATGTTGTTTATTCTGAACTTATTTTGTATTTCTATATATTTTGTTTATATACGCATGAAGCCAAAGTTATACAGTCATCTGAGAAGCTTCGTATGAAGGGGTTGTTGTGCCAAACCTATACTTAAAGCTTACTTCCTATTATTTATCTCCATGTCCTACTATTTAAATGTCTGATTTATCCCACACCGTATCTTCAGTTCGCTTACAAATATCGCACAATAGTTGAACTATTGACACTAAATTTTTATAGTGGGTGACCTATTTGAAAATGTATCATTTCGTATAAATCAGACATTTCAGAGACCTTTTATTTCGATTTTGTGAATATATCTTTCGTTCATTTTAAGAGAAATACATTGCTCCTCTTCATTCACTATTCGTCGAGAATTTGGTGGCAGTTGAAGATCGATTGATCTTCGCGCTATTTGTTATATGACAAAGCCTCGTTTCGTTTCATCGTATTTTAAATTGCATAAAGAAATCAAAGTTTGTTTACATTCACATTTAACGAATTGAAACTCACACTCACTTTTTCATGGTTCTTCTGATTATTTCTGATTTCTATTATTGCAACATCTTCGTCTTTCCTGTTGGCCTGGTACCTTTAGGGAGAAGACGGAAATTTCGCGCACTTTTTGGAATACTTTGGAAAGCATACTTTAATAATGCTGATGCATTTCTGATGAAGACTCCCTTAAATACAACGAATTTGCATAGATCTACTGTTGAAATTAGATGTCTTTGTAAACAATGTTTACTTCAATCTTTTTTACTCACAAATATATCAAAATTCTAAATAACATTGCTTCGTCATCCATTTAAGATTCTTCAAAGCACACAATCGAATACAATAAGTTTATGTGTAAGATATATTATAGATAATATATGTGTCATTGCTTTGGTGGAAGAGTATTTGGGATCATGCAATTAATAGTTACCATATTGTTGATATTGTTGTTAAATTGAGTTAGTAATCTAAGAGACGATAAGCTTTAGCTTAAATAAATAAACAAATCTGCACTTGTTTCAGCGTTTCAGCGTTTCAGCGGTTCTCGATGTTTATATTGAAATCAATAAAAATCAAGTCTGTCTGTTTTCTTATATTCGGGTTACATGTTTATTAAATTCAGAGTGAAATATTAAATTTTTGAATTCGAATTCGCTGTACTTCATATTTTTGTTGGCTAATGGCATTTTCCGAAAATTAACATCACACAAAATAATAATAATAACCATTAAATAATTTCTAATTAATTATGTGATTATTATGTTTAGTCGATTTTATTAAAAACCTGCAGTTAATTCTGCCTTGTCTTGAAACTTGTCAGATCAATTCACTAATTCAATGAAAGTATTGTAGATATTAGCCTACATTCAATTCTGATCGTTTGGTATTTATGTTCCATCCTCAAAATATTCCTTATTTTAATAGAATGCTTCCCAGTTTGTTTGATTCTTAATGATTCAATGATATTAGAAATATTACAGGTGACAGATGATTTTTATTAGAAATTATATGACGATAAAAAATTTACTTGAAGCATGGTTTAAGGTGCTAGAATTCAAGTCCTTAGAAAGACACCATTTGAACTTTCATATTTTTACAGCTTCAAAATTCTAACCATAACATTTGTTGTCCATCAAAGTATATAAGGAAAAATAAATGAATGATGTTGATCTGAATGTATACAGGCGATTGAAAACATTTTGTCGTATTTTTAGCAACATCCTGTTCTCTACCAGGTCATCAGAAAAGGAGAAGAGAGTAGAATTGAGGATGAATTGAAAAAGTCATAAAGAGGTTACAATGTTTTCGTTGAAAACAATTCTCTGTTTTACGATCGTTAAATGTAAATAAACTTTGTCTTTATGTTTTCAATTAAATAATTAAAAATTTACAAACAAAACGATGTTCAACATAAACGATGAAAAAAGTTCAATATGTTATAAATAATCGTCATTTGGTGAATAAAAGACCTCAGTGAATTTGAGTTAAGTAAGTTAAGTAAAATGAGTGAGTTAAGTAAAAGAGTTAAGTAAAATGCCTGCTTCCAACGAAACGAGTATATCTAATGTGCTGCAATGCATTATTGACTATTTCTGATCAGAACCATCGATTGAAGTATGTGGACCGAAACATCTTATACATCTACATTAACAGTCAAAAGTTATTTGTTTATTTAAGACTACTTAACATATATATGGATTTGTCACTGAACATAGTCCATACATGCCTTTCTTTTTTAGATCGTAATAACTATAGTTACGATTCATATTAATACATATTACTTAATGTCATTCATGCCTGACATA